GGATTTTCACATGGGAGCATGAAACAATGGGAGCAGAAATAAGAGGATCTCTCCCAACTTCTCGCTCACAACTGGCTGGTGGTAGCACTTGCCCGATGGTGGGAACCAGGGGGTGTCCTAGCTACTGGCTGCAAGGATGAGCTCCTGCTTGCCCTGTCTCCAGTATCACAGAGTCATTATTCCTGCTCTGAATACAGGAGCTACCGGTCACTTTGAGCTTGGGTCTGCTCCCTTTTACACCTGATACAGTTAAGGGTAAAAATATGTGATCATTCTGTAATGTGAAAATTTTTATTTCTTGTGCAGAGCTGCTTAGTTTTCATACCACTGAGCTACTCAGGGCTCTAACCCACACTTTGCCCCAGGAGGGATTGCAAACAAGGCAGTCTCTGGTTTGTCATACATCGAGGTCAAATACAGCACACGGCTCCTGTTCCCCAAAGGACCATGCAATCAATGTAGCTGGTACAAACGCTTTCTGCTTTCCTCCTCACAAACCCACTCTCAGATGTTCCGGATGAGGAGAGCTGCTGCCTTCAGTACTGTAAGAGAGGATGTTCTCAGTGACATTGAGGTTCTTCTGAAGTCACCACAACTAGGGGACAACTTGAAACCAGAGCAGGCTTCTGCTCTTCCACTTAAAATGGAGTCTAAAGTGCAAGTCTAAACCATAAAGAAAACTCACCATCAAAACTGACTACAACCTAGCAACATTAGATAATGAAAATAGACCTTACCAGCCATCCAGAGAACATCTTTTCTGTCTAGGAAGAACAATGAAAAGAATAATCTCCTACGTCATGTTATGCTTCAAGTTTAGTATTAATTGTAGACTCAGTCCTTGGGGTTCTGTGATTAAAAATTATTACTATGAATGAGACTCCTGCCAGGAATTTTCCAACTGCTACCACGCCATCTAAAATAATGCTGTCAGCATGGCTGAGGAACAAGGAGGGAGTATCACCTCCTGGAGCAACTGAGCTTGGAGGGTTCTTACCACCATTAAGAGTCAAGATCCCTTGTAGGACCCGATGCCACAGGCCATGGGAAAAGGGGCTGCTCTGAAACCTGCCTCTTTCCTACTGCATTAAGGCTGTTAGCACAGAGAAGAGCTGTTTGGTGCCTGAGCCTCCAAAGGAAGAAAGGAGCTGGCCATCGGGTAGGTCTACAGGGCTTCCAGCCTAGGTACTCTGTTACTGTCAGAGGCTTCAGCTACAGAATTAGGAAATGAACCCTTTCCCTCCTTTCTCCCTACCCCACCCCCCCAGACACTCAAGCACCCTGAAGGGTAGCACTGTCTCTTAAATCTTGCTCCCTGGGGCTAAAGCAGGCGTGATGTTACATCCACCAAAGTTCTTGCCGTACTCAGGTTTAAATCAGTGGATGTGATCGTACACAAGAAACCAAGCAAGAAGGATGAACAGGTGAACATAGGGATCATCTAAAGTTAGTTGTTGTGTTACTGTCTTGGTTTTGATACTATTAAAACTTCCATCGTATCTCCAAGGAACTTGTTTCTACAGCACCCATATTTTAGAAAAATTAATTTACAGCTCGTAGTCTGAACTACAGACACTGAAGTTCTGAGTCCCTTAAAGATTTCACAAATTTCCTCAGTAAATCAGTGCCCCAGTTTTAGACAGAGCAGCAGCATGCATTTTTACCATTTCACATGCAACCAACCTACCTCAAACATAAAGAGGCCCAGAACAACCATGCTTTAAATTCACAGAAAATTAATTTGGCACACATGCACATTTTAATAACAGTCAGAACAGATATAGCTGATTTATACCTATGTAGTTAGGTCAGTTTGCAGTGTTAGTAAAAGTTTGACTAAAAAAAACCAAAACCCAAACAACCCCCAGACAGCTAAAAAAGCCCACTTAAATTCACAAGTACGTATGTACCTTTAGGTAAACTGCAGAATGCTGCAAAGTTTATGCAAACAGTTGCTCTTAAATCATTCACCTTTTCAATTTTGATATATTACCTCATGGTAAATTACCATAACTGGTGAGGATTACCCCAGCTGTTTGGCATCAACAGCTTTCAAGAGTAATTTTATATCCAAAAAACTGCACCGATGTAGCACTTGGTGTTCAGAGAGAAGATTTGTGACTGCACACGTTGACAACTCCTACCCAAAACTGGACAACCAAGCCAACACTGGATTATCTTCTGAAAACAAGAAATAGAGGTGAACCCAGGAAAAATAATCTCCTATGGCTATAAGGACATGGCTATGACACCCA